TCCTTAAGGGCTCACTGCACTATAACCACTCTGTGAACATTCCCCACTCTACTTATCTAGGTCCCACAGGTGGCCACTTCATTTGGTCCCTATTGCTTGCTATTTATTGTTTTGCAGTAACTATTCATGCGTGTACCTCCCTGTGCCCATACGCCAGATCATCTCTCGGGTGTACACCAGAAATGAGAATTGTGGGGTCATGCGTTGTCTTGGTCATTTTCCTGGTACTGAGACACAGTACCCAACACCTACAGCGTAACAGAAGTTTATTTTGGTTCACAGGTTGTAGTGGTTCCAGTCCGCAGTTGGCTGGCTCCAAGGCAGAAGCAGCACAACACCGGGGCAAGGCAGAGGAGAGCTACTTGAGGCATGGTGGCCAAAGCAGAGTGAAGGGAGAAGTTGGGAGGGAGAGAAACCCTTCCAGTCCACATCCCCAGTGACTCGCCCCTTCTGACCAGACCCCACCTCCTGACAGCAAGTCAGCTCTGAGACCTCACAATCCAATAACCTTTCAGAAGGCCCCCCTGTGAGTGCATGAGGCTCTCCGGGGACATCTAAGATGTAAAGCACACCACATGTGCATGTTCTAACTTTGTAAGAAAATGTCACCGTGCTTTCTTCTCTTTGGGTCTTCCAGTCTGTGTTCCCCTCAGCAGCAAAGGTGGCCTCTCTGCAAGGCCATGTGATCCTATCAGGACTTACACTCTGACTTCAGTGTGGGTTTGTATGCATTTGCCTACTTGAAGGGTGTGAAATATTCTCATTTTAATTAGCAGCTCTCTGGTTACCAGTGGGGTTGAGCATCTTTTCTGTCATAAGCCTGCAAGTAGTCTGCCTGCCTCCACCGTGGGATATTGTGATAGGATAAGAAACACATATTTGGTCTCTGCTGCTGGCTCCTGACAGCCCCTTGGAGATGGGGGCTCTTGGAGAATATTTTGTTCTAACATTTAGTTTTTGAATCAGGTTCCTGACAGAGCCCCTAAATCCTTTGGAGTTTCTTGTGCGATAGAAGCATCTATTGTTTGAATGCAGCAGCTCCTGGGATCCTGAAAGGCTTCAGGATGGGGGCTGTTTGCCAGGGGAACTGAACATGTGATTAAAGGTGTGAAAGTTGTCAGAATCAACATGGAGTCCCTTGTGTCAACCTCAACAAAAAAAACTAGGTAAAGAAATAAAACAGGGCAATTACAAAGGCAGGGTTCTTACGCAGGACTGTCTGCTAGTAAACACCACAAAAGAGTCTGCCAGGACCACAACCTTACACAAAGGCCACTGCAACCTTATGTGACAAGTACTTCTGCCTAGCAACTCTCTTCAAGCTTGGACCAAGGTCACTGTGGTTCTTAATCACTGTGGGAAAGGATTATTATTTCAAAAAATGTGATGTGATTCTCATTTTTGTCCTAAAATCCGCCCTTTAGGCAGGTGTAGTGGTGCATAGCTGTAATTCCAACGTTTTGGGAGGCTGAGGCAGGAGGACTGCAAGTTCAAATTTTGCCTGGGCAACTTTGTGAGACCTTATCTCAAATTTTAAAAATGAAAAAGAAGCCTGGGGACGTAGCTTAGTAGTACAGCACCCCTGCGTTCAATTCCCAGTGCCACACACACGCACAGACCAAAAAAAAAAAAAAAATCTCCTTTACTCTGGCTTGCATGTTCCCACTGCAATGCTATTCTCTTCAAATAAATAGGAATATTATTCTTTGAAGACTATCTCTGGCTTTTTGTTTTTGTTTTTGTTTTTGTTTTTTGGCTTGACAGAGGGTTGGAACTTCCAGCCTTAGCCCTCCAGCCTCTGGGAAAGAAGGGACTGAAAATTAAGTTGATCACCGATGGCCAACGAACTGACCAATCAAGTCTACACAATGAAGCATCGAGGGCTTCCACATAGCTGACCGCAGGGTCGCCTGGAGGGTGGCGTACCCAGGAAGGCGTGCCACTTCATGGCCCCTCTCCCGTGCTGCACCTGCACTCCTCCCGCCTGGTTCTTCAGCTGGAACCTTGGTCATATTAATTTTTGTGGTATTGGCATCTGGTCTTGTGCAATCTGATGCTAACTCCAGATAGATAGCATCACATGACACCCAGCACTAGCCCGCTGAAGAGCTGCTTTGTGTAGGGGCCAACCCCACAGCTGGTGTCAGTGTTACGCGTTGTGCTGAGTGTTAAGGTAGAGAGAGAAAAAAAAGTTGTTTTTCCCCCAAGAAGATACTGGCCCTTCCTTCCAATCTGTGTTCCTCCCAATAGTTGAGCCATCCACAGATTTTTCTACAGTTGCCCAGTGAGTCAGGGACAATTAATTATGGCCAGGTATTCAGATATTCGTGCATACACACAGAGGATAAAACCCACAGGACTGCTGCTCACAAACAGAAGCAAAAATGGGATTTAGAAGAGAGGGAAAGAGGAAAAAAGTTTGCCCGGGGCCCAATGAGAGCAAAGTCTTGTTTTAACTTTTCAGGTACACTGAACAATCAGACCTTGAGAAATCTGACTTCTGTCATCAAAGAAAGCAACCCTCACTGTGTGTGGCTTCTCTGGAGCGTGTTGAGGGTTTAGCTGAGTCGCTTGATAGGCTGATTCCGGGCCATGCTGCCCAGCAACCTTCCTTTCTGCATCTAGCCCCTTGTTCAGTAGGTCTGTGCTCTTTCCGGGTCAGAATTCTCTCAGCTCCTTCATGTTGGGAAGCCCGCATTGCAATCTGAACGGTACCTGTGTGTTGGGTTCTTTGTAGCCAGCACTGAAAAAAACTCTGCCTCCGTGTCCACAAACTGGGGGTTTTCCATATGCAGATTCCACCTCCCTCCTCGCCATATGTATGTGACAAGGTCTGGGTGGAGGCATGCTTGGTTGTCACAATTGCACCTTGTAGGTAGAGATCAGTGATTCAACTAAACACCCTACAATGCATAGGCAGCTTCTCTGCCCCTCAACAGACAACGTTCTGGCCCCAAATATCAGCAGTGCAGAGACTGAGAAGCCCCAGTTGGCTCTTGCTGCTGCCTATGCCAGTGTACAGGTGCAAATACTGTCACAGTGGCTAGGCTGCCTCCCTTGAGCCCACAGTACCATCCCCAAGGGCAGAGAGGACGGTGTAGCCAACTAAATGAAGGGAACTCAAAGATTTGCTGAACAAATGTCATTAGTGCTCAGAGGGACACCTGGGAAGAAAAACAGGGAGGGGGATAAGTTCTCCAGAAGGCTCATCAGTTCTAGAGCTGACTCGCCTGGCACTTTGACTACTGTGTTGCCAGCACTGTGTTTTACAGGCATTACTCAACGTGGTTCTCATCATGACCTCATGAAGGAGTGCTTAACACTCACTTTGAGGAAGGGAAGACAACCTAGAGGTGAAAATAACTCTCACACAAAGGGACAAAGCCAGCCAGGGGTGGGACCACATGATGTGTTCTTTGGGAGGTGTGAGTCTGAGGTAAACAGAAATGTTTACTCCCAAAGAACTAAGCCCCTGCTGCAAGGATGGCTTTGCTTTGCATAATGTCAGAATCACATTTATTTTACACTGAGGTGTATGAGTTTCCAATAAAAAGGAGAAATGCTAAAGATTTGAAATTCTACTCATGTGTCACCTCAGGGGCAAGTCAATTCTGACTTTGTCTGCAATAACCTAAGCACAAATTGCAACTCCAGTAATAAAATGAGAGCTTGAAAAACTAAACACCTGGGGCTGATGAAAGTAATGCATTTGTCTCAGGGCAGGGGCTGAATTCGAAGCTAAGTGTTCTTAAGGAGAAACACGTCAAGACTAAATCTTCTCCCCAACGTTTGATGAATGTGATAATCTTTTGTGGCCTGGCAATGCCCTGTAATAACTTATTTAAGAGGCAGCTGCTTTTTATAAATGGACCATCCCATCAATTTTTAGATTTTCATTCTCAGAAACGCATTCTTTTATCAAAGCAATAATTGCTATATAGAGTCCCAGCTCAATCGTGCCTTTTCTGTAACAGAGACTACAGAAGTGACCAGGCTTGGGAATTATACTTCTCTTTTGAATGACATTAATACTCTGTAGAGAAAAGGTAACTTTCATTCCACTGGCAGAGGTTGGTACAACTACCACCTGTAGACCATGCCCTTCCCCCTTTGGCACTGGGAGTTGAACCCAGGTGTGCTCTACCACTGAGCTACACTCCCAGGCTGTTTCATTTTTTATTTCGCTAAATTGCCTAGGCCGGCCTCCACGATGCCTTTTTCAAATAAAGTTTTATTGGAACAGTTTGTTTCGTTACCATCTATGACAGCTTTCATACCCTGAGGGCATTTGCAGCACAGACAGTGTGGCCTGCAAAACCAAAAGTACTTATTCTCTGGCCTTTTACACAGCAGGCAGGCCAAACTGTGCTTTAGAAAGAAGTGGTACTTGCCTCACTGCACGCTTGCCTCATTTAAGGCAGACAGAACATCTGGCTTACAGCATTTGTGAAGTTCAGGTGGGTAAAAGAAGAAAATATAAAAAGACAAAACATTTCACTTTGTCAAGAGAAAGTTTCTCATGTGGGCAACAACAGACAACCTGCTGACTTCCAAGTGGCTGACATATGACACCACCCCGTTAGTCTACATTTAAAATGTCCCTCTGAAGTCTCACGTGTTTGGAGGTAAGGTGGGGCTTTTGGAAAGTGCCCAGACCACGGCAGAGCTGTACTCAACAACGGACTCATCCACTGATGAGTTCTCATGATCTAAGGTGGAGGGGTGGGTCACGGTGGGCATGACCTGGAGCGTCCACTGTCCCTCCCTCCTTTTGTCTCATGGCTGCCATGTGGTAAGCAGTTTTTCTCCACCATGTCTTTCCACTGGGCTGTTTCTGCCTTACACTGAACAACTCCCAAACCATGAACCCAAACAAGTTGCACGTGTCAGGTATTTTGTTCCAGCGACAGGAAAGCTAATATAGTACCCAGCCCCTGACGGGCCCACTGGGCCTTTGGGAAACATGCTTATCTCAGTATAAAGGCCTCTTTCCCTGAGAAATGCACAGGAGAGATGAAAACTGTTTATTTTTTAAAAAAGGAAGGGGTGAGGCTGGGGACTGTTCGGGAAGCATTCCCTGGGGGCCTTGTGCCCAAGGCTCAGAACTTCAAGGGAATGACAGGCCAGTACTTGGGGTGCTTTCTGTCACAGTGCTTGTCAAAGCTCAGCTGCACTGCGGTCTCCATGGCCAGGATCTTGGGGGCGCCATCCCCATACAAGCGCTTCATCTCAGCCTGGCGCAGCTCACCCGGCCTCTCCGTTGGGGCCTTCACGGTCCTGCGGTTGTTGTAGTACAAGTCATGGTCGGCGTTCACGTATTCTTCCAGGCGCTCCGCCTCTAGCTGCTGCTGGCGCCCTGGGAACAGACAGGAACATGAACTTGCACATACGCACACATGTACAGGAATGTGCCACTGCAGCCCTGCCAGGGCCCCTAAGGTCTCTTGGCTTTCCCTTGGACCCAACTGTGCCAGTGGAGAAGGATCCCGAGGCATGACCAGGCCACATGCCCTAGAAATACAGGAGAAAATGAAGCCCCCTGGGTCTTCTCTCACCTGTATAGCTGCCCCAACCTGCATATGCACAGAAGGCCCGGGGCAGTATGGGAACGAACAGCTTCCTACAAAGTCCAGAGTTAGAAGAAGTACTTCCCATGACACATGAGGTAGTGGAGAAAAAAAATAACCACCGCTCTAAAAGAGGTACTGACTAGAAAAGAATAAGCCCTCGTAAGTACAGATTGCAACAATCACTGACAATCCCTCCATAGATGCAAGACACAAATCATACTAGCCAACAACACGTTAAATGATTAAACACTTGCTAATGGTAAAAGGGCCAAGAAATGGCAATTGTACCAATGGAATGGAGAACTGTGACTTCTGATCTGTCTGTTACAGATCTGCACTAGACGGTTGCTCTGCTCACTGTGGGACTGGACTTGCTGCCTTGTAGGTTAGCCTAGGTGACACTGTAAGTTTCATACATCCAGTTAGATACTTTAGCATGTTCATGATGGCACCATAATTTGTATGTTTTGCTGCTGGGTGGCTTGTACAACCTCATGTGATTGCCCCATGTTACCTGATGGGACAGACACACTGGTGGTACCAGCCAGTGGGGACATGACAGTCCTACTAATTTCAACGGATTCTTGGCTGGGATGTAGCTCAGTACTAGGGCACTTGCCTAGTGTGCAGGAAGCCCTGGGTTTAATCCCAGCACTAGGGAAAAAAATAAGATTCCTGTGAAGCAAGAAATATTTATTGAATTTATTTTCCTTCTCTATTTTTTTTTTACTATGGTAAGTCCCAGTATCATAATTTTTATTCTTATATAAATCACAACATAAAAGTGTCAACAAAACAGTGCTGCATAAGGTAAAATTTAGCCAACTCACATAGATTCTCTAAGCGACTGTCAAGAGAGAAATTGATAGCAGAGGGTACATTATCTGTAGCTACTACTGCTACCAGGAGAAACGCCACCAGATAAGGAATAAAGATGGCTGTAGGGGAATAAAACAATGACATAAATCATTCTTTCCTTTCTGGCTCTCCACTATGCCTGCCGGGGAACAAAGCAGTGCACTAATCAAGTGTGAAGGGAAAGATATTTCTATAGCTATGTGTAATCACTCTCATAATTCTGTTCTTTATAAATATCACCTTGGAGATGACATACTATTACAAATGGGTATGGCCACTGCTCTCCTACACCACGTGCAATTATTTTTTGCAAATGGAAGAAATGTATTATGAGCCAAATGAGTGTCAAACAAAATAAATACCCCCAAATTGTTATCTCACCCATGGGAAATACGTATGGCTGACTTACTGTGAAATGCAGAACAAAGCCAAAATATTGGCTTAACATGTTTCTGCTGGCTTGAACCACCAATGGACTGTACCACCGGATGGGACTGTCCCATGTACCTGATGGGACAGTCATATATATACCACCGATGGTTCAGAGCTGCCTCGCAGCGAGACATGAATTATGGTCTCATCTTGAACATGTGACTATGCAAAGGTCTTAGAAGCCAACAAGTATTTGCTTCTCAATTTTGGTCTTTCTATCAGGTTTGAAACATCATTATTTAATCTGTTTGGTTCTCAAAGTTGCCTAAATTCTATGTCCTGTCGGGTGGAGGTGAGCGACTGTAATCCCAGCACTTGGGAGGCTGAGGAAGGATCATCATGAGTTTGAGGCTAGTCTCGGCTAAAAAGTGAGTTCAAAGCCAGACTGAACTACATAGCTAGGCCCTGTCTCAGAAAAAAAAAATTCTATGTTGCTCCAAACTGAGCTCTATTGCATCAGTGTGGGAGTAGATGAACTGGGTCCTAACTGGCCACAGAAAATAGCCATTCCCAGACATTTTTCTGACTCCCAGTTAACATTCAAGGAGAGAAAAGAAATATTAAACATTGGGTCAGAGAAAAGCACTCAATGGTTGCCACATCTGCTTATTTCCATAAGACCCATTCCTGGCCAGGAAGCTGGTGGAAGAGCAAAGGTGGCCTAGGATACCGATGTACAGCCACACACTTCTAAGTGCAGGTGCAGGTCCTTTGCACTCAGACCTTCCAAAAGACCCAGGAACAGTACTTCCGGAGAGCCCTGGCCAAGCAGGATGTGGGGCTGATAGTCAGGCACTGGGCTTTCCACTAAAGGTGGAATGTGACAGAAGGGTATCTTTTTAAACCTATCCCAAGACTACAACTGATTCACGGACAGATTCAGTGGCACACCAGATGTTCAACTTCTCACCTAAATCCAATCTCTAAGTTTAGAAATTTTAACAAACACCAAGGTCTTAGCTTACTAGTGCAGCTTTCTGCCATCGAGATGTGTCAATGAGATTTTCTGCTATGCTGCTAAAATGAATGATGGTAGCACAACTGAAGGAAAATGCAAATGTGAATAGATCAAGAATGCCTCATTTCTGCTCATCAGCAACATTCTCAGAACACACATGCTTACTAACAGAACTGGAGCCATTTCTGATTGGGCTCCTCATCGTGGGTCCCCTGCTCCATGACAAATGCAATCCTACAGTTGGTGGGCAATCACTTCTCACTTTTACAATACAAGTGCCTTTGTATCTCTCCCTTCCATTTTCTGTGACCTTCCACACCTATCATTTCACTGATCGGCTTTATGCACTTTGGAACAGCCAGATTAGATGAAACAGACGCACAGTGTGGAATTATGCTCAATCAGTGTGATTTCATGCTTTTGCATCGTCTAAACCAAGACAGCTCATGGACCACTACAGTGCTAGGCTTTCCACAGAGGGTGGTGAAGCAGAAACAGGTGGGTCTCTGGCAGACTGAAGGCTCACAGTGGAGACTGAGTCCACACCTTCTGACTAAGGTAGACACAGCACAGTGAGCAGATGGCTCCCATCAAATGTGCAAGCACCGCATCTGGGCCCTCTGGAAAGAACAGCATGTTAGTGTCTAAGCAAGAAGCTGACTTACTCCTTTTTTTTATTCCAAACAGATGCCATCCCTTAAAGCCTGGAGTTTATTCCTTTACTCCACCTCTCCCACTCCCAAAGCTCTTTCTTTTCCCTGTCTAGGACATCAGCTCTACCTCTCATTTGCAATAGTGATCATGGACCACACCACAGATACTCTTCTATGCATCATCTTAAATATGATTTTGTACCCTCTTTCTAACTGACCTAAAGCATATCATATTCTTTGAGACTATGTTGCTGTTTTGACCCAACATCTACTCCCAAAACACAGATAATAAACATCTGAGTAGCACAGTCCCAAGAAAACAGGGTCAGTGTCTATTTCCAAAGGTCTTATTCCCTAGTGGGGATGGTAACTTTCTCTTGGGCTTCCTCTAAGGAATATAGCCTCGCAGTCTCTAGTGATGGCCACTTATGACTAAAAAAAAAAAAAAACTTTTCTTAACCTAATGGCAAACATTTTTTCCTAAGAAAATAATTGAAATCACAGCTGACCTTAAAAATTCTCAGCTGTCTACTTCCTCATATGCAACGTTACCACTGATGTTTTACATAATGGAAATGTCGTGTTAGGAAAGGATGACATGTAACATAATCGAAAGCATGCAGTCTCCCATTGCACAAAGGAATTCTTAATTCTTTTGTGTTTTGGGTATTGAAAGGCATTAAAGTAGAGATTATCTGGAAGGGTAGCAATCAGAAAGAAGAACATGCTGTTTAGTGTGATGTGAAGGATTGCACTGATACTGTCCTCAGACGGTATTAAACAAGACTCAGATGATAAACTGTGTAACTCACATGTTTCTGAGAAAGTGAATAATATTGAAAAGTTAAAATTTAAAAATTCAGCTATGCCTTCCCTTGCTAGTAACATTTTATATAATGCTGTGTTCTCTAAACTATTCATGTTCCAAGTTGAATTTGCCCTTTTTGAACAAGTAGCTTCTACTGGTTCAAAGAACAATACAAAACAAAAAACCGTACCCAATTATTCACACTACCCAGGATGCTTATATCTTTCTGAAAGCTTTTCCCGGCTGTGTATGTTAACTAAACCTCCACGAAAATTTCTAGTGAAGGCAGTGGATTGGAAGGTGACATGGACATTCAGTTTAATTCCACATGAATTCTATCCTTCATTCCTGCTAGAGAGAACATGTTCATCCTGTACCCCCAAAGAGGCTGTGACAAAAATAATGCTAGTGACCTGCTGCCTGTTATTTTCTTAATGGTGCAAGATCAGGCCCTGGCAGCTTCTTCTAATAAACACCAAGTCTCTGGATTAGATCCTGGTGATTAGACCATGCTGAGTTTTCACTTTCTCTAGACAAGTTTTGCTTACCATGGACTGGATAATGCTTTCAGGGAAGGCTGTAGGAATAAAAGCAATTGCAGAGACTCTAGGAGAAGTAGCTTTGAACTGTGTGCTAAGTATGTATTTGTTTATATATTTGTTTGTTTGTTTTTGTGGTCTTGGAGACTGAACTGAGGGCCTTGTGCGTGTTAGACAAGCACTGTACCACTGAGGTACATTCCCAGCCCCAACTACATGTTTTAAAGGCACAAAAAACCAGAAGCCTGTTGTGTTTAGTGCTATTAGTGGCATGGGAGTGGGTTCATTTTCTGTGCATTTTATTATATTACATTTTTAGCAAGCAAGAACATCCTTGAATCAACTAAACATTGTGTTAATGACTATGACAGATACCACTACTTTAATTCTTTCATGTTTTTAATATTCCAAATAAGTTAAAAGTTCGAAAGGAATTACCCAGAACAGAAACATATGACCTTTCTGAAGCCACAAAACATCTCACTAAAAATACTGTAGGCAGAATTTCAGTCAAACACTAATTCAGACAAACTGATGAGGGCAAAATCAATGTATGGTCAAAACATCAGGTTAAAGGATAGGTCATTCTCAATTAACTCTAACAACTGACACTTCCTGGGCACCGCCTTTGTGCCAAGCACCATTCTATTGCCCTTCTTGTATGGACTCATTTCTTCTTCCTAATCATCACGCCATTAATGAGGAGCCCCCACTTCACAGGTGAGAAGGCGGAGGCACAGAACAGCGAAGGTAGGGGCTCCCGCAAGACAATAAGCACTTCTGGTTAGTGGGTGGGGTCACCAGGCTGGAACCCTGGGATCCAAGCTATTGTGCCACAGTGGCCTCTGTATCCTGATCCTAACAACATACCTGTCCAATGTCAAGTCAGGTTAAAGGTGGAGGTGGCAAGGGGTTTCATAAAATTCCTTTTTAGATGGTTTATTACCTGGATTATTTTGAAACAAACATATAACACACTGTTTTTATCAAGATGGCCAAAGCTATGTGTGGTTTAAGTCCCAGTCACAGATGGCATGCAATGACAAACGAGGATGCAGTGGAAATTCTCACAGAATGGCTGCATTAGTTTCTTGGAGCTGCCATCATACAGTGTCATAAATGAAGTAGCTCTGAAGAAAGAAATGTACTGTTTCTGAGTTCTAGGGTCAGAAGTCTGGAATCAAGGTGGGAGCAGGGCTCTGCTTCCCATGAAGGTGCTAGGGAAGGATCTCTTCCAGACCTCTCTCCTGGCTCTGTTTGTTTGTTTTCTGTGGTGATAGAAATTGAACCCAGGTCCTTGTGAATGCGAGGCAGTGTACGCCGATTTTTATACCATGTTCTCCCTCTATGCGTGTCTGTCTCTCAGTCCACATTTTCCTCTTTTAATAAAGCACAAGTCATATGAATGAGGGCCCCCTCCTGACCTCATTTTACTTTTACTACTTCTGAAAAGATCCTGTTTCAAAATAAGATCACATTCTGAGACACAGGGGAACAAAAAGCCAGCAGCTCAACTTTTTGAGGGGATACAATTCAACACAGGACAATGAGGAAAAGAGTACATCTGGAGTTTTGGAATAAAGTAAGCAGATTTGGGAGTAACAGTCAAAGAAGACATGAAATTGATCAAGTTCACAAAACATGCAAAGCTTAAGTCATTTGGTAAAACATCTCATAGAACTGTAGCAAGTACAGCACCCTATGGGACAAGAGCTGTAACCACCGATTGAATGATTGTAATTAATACCGAAAGACATCATTTCTTCATTCAAATAACAGCCATTACTTTTCATTACTTAGAAGGACAAGCCCTGGCACAGAGGGAGCAGCACGGGAAGTGGAGTCAGGCAGACATGCTTTGCATCCTAACACCAAATTGACTAATTGTGTGACTGACTTTCTCAGGGTTCATTTTCCTCATTTGTAAAATAGGTTCTATGCAGGTTAGGGAATATATGCATGAGTATATGCTCTGTCTGGCAGAGTGGCTAATGTTCAATAAGGGCACAGGTATTGTTAGGATAAGCTTTGCTCTGGAACTAAAATAAGCAGCTCTGGTAACGAATGTCATTGAGGTGCAACAACACCTTAGCTTTTCCAGGCTGTGTACTGGATTTAGAATATACCTGTACCCAAATGAAGTGCCATACAATAACTTGATATATTAGGTAAGAAAAAAGACGTTAAAGTCAGGCCAAGGAAAGGCAGCATGAGGAAAGACTGTTTGGAACTTACGTCGCTCTTCTCTGTGCTTCTCGGTCACTGCAAAGTACTGGCGGAGCTCGTCGGTGATTTCCATATTGCTCAGGTCACATTCTACCTCGTCATCGGACTCTGTCTCGACCTCCTCTTTTTCCAACAAAGCTCGGTCTGCTCTTGTGGAGGGCTGCATCCTACCACTGTCACAGGGAGGCTGCTCAGCCCTTCCGTCATGGGAATAACTGCAGTGGGAGTCCTGCCAGGCCATGCGATGGCCATAGTAGGACTGAGGAGATCCAGCATTGTTATCATAAGAGCTTTGGGGTGCATTTGAGAAGTACCTTGGGAAACTGAAATAGGCTTCCACAGCCTTCCTGTAGGCAACCTGGTGGTTTCGCATCCAAGCCATTGCTTGATGGTAATGTTGCCAGTATCTTGCATATACTGGATGAGAATACCAAGACATGGCAGCTTTTGATGTTGCCACCTACAAAATAAAGGCAAGCACAGATCAGCCACCAAACAGTTCATCCTTAAGAGATGTTTCAATGTCTCATCAACTAACCAATGGACATTTACTGAGAATCTACTAGACCCCTACTCTATTGAGGAAGATAGTGGGCTGAAAAAGATGTAAGACAGGTCTGTACCCAAGACACAGAAACCGAGTATATGCACACTTGCTCTCTGAAAATGTATGAATCAGTTACACACAAGACAATGTGCTTAAAGCTACAGAGCCCTATAATGACGACAGATGCTAATAATGATTGTTTTTAGATAAGACACAAGGGGAGGTAAATGATCCCACATTTATCATCTTGGCTATCTTTACTAGTTCCAAGTTAGAAATGGGCTGTCAATTCTAATAGAAGACTGTGATAGCCTTTGGTTCCTCCTCTTCTGCTCCCTAAACTAGCCTGCTGGCCCAGTCCACCCTTCAACGTCTGGGACAAGAGATGTTTCGTAATGCACTTGATGCTTTTTTAGTTTTCTTATCCAAAATGCCTGGGACCAGAAGCATTTCAAATTTCAGTCGTCTTGCAGATTTTGGAAAGTTTACATATACTGTCACTGTTCAGCATTTCTAATCTGAAAATCCAAAATGTGGACTGCTTCAAAATCTGAAACCTTTTCAAGGTCATGGTAGGTTCAAAAAGTTTTGGATTTGGGATCATTTTGGATAATTGGAGTGGTGATGCTCAACCTGTACTTGTTTGATCTTTTCCGTCACGGAAAGAGACCATTAAGAATTTAAAGACTAAATGTTTTTGAACTCATAAGACAAAAGGTAGTCTTACCTTTGTGGCCTTCTCCGATGGTGGAAGTCCAGATGGGCTCTTAAATTAGGAAAGAAGAACCACACTGTGAACACCTGATCAGTATGGCTGTGGGATACTCACAGCTATTTTACAACTGCAAAGCAATTTCTAAGAGGTTGCCTCAGTCTAGTATTATGCCAAATTGTCACAAAACACACCAGGAGACCCCGGCACCTGGGTTATGACCACAAGGTCTGAAAAGGAGGCGACCCCTTAGGCATGACTCAGTGACTAAAACAAATTACTGGTTTTCCTGTTGCAAGTAGTCTATGATTATAACCACATAAATATTTGGCAGTTAGTATATTTACACAAAAATGATATATGGCACATAAGGTATATTTTTATAACTATTACTTTACTTACTAGTCCTTAACACATGTCAATGACTACTTACATTAACCCTGGAAACCTCTGTTGGGTATTGCCTTAGATTTGGGACTTGCAGAAGCCTTTTGGTGTTGTTGTTGTTGTTTTGTGGTATTGGGGATGGAGCCCAGGGTCTCACGCGTGCTAGGTAAGTGCTTTGTTACTGAGCTCCACCCCCAGCCCGTACCTTTTTGTTTTTGGTACTGGAGATTGAACCCAGGGACTTCACACTGAGTTATACCACCAGCCCTTTTTTATTTTTTATTTTGAGACAAGGTCTAGCTAAGTTGCCCAGCTGGGCTTGAACATGTCATTCTCTTGCCTCAGCTTCCTTAGTAGCTGGGATTACAGATGTGTGCCACCACAACCAGCTTCATAGAAGCCTCTTTAAACAAAAACATCTTTCCAGGCTCAAGTGTGCTTGGGGCTTTAAGTTCGCCCAAAGGGCCTTGTTTTAGTTTAGGTCAACTTGGTTTTGATTTCAGACAGAGAGTGCCATCACAGTCACCTGACCTAACTGTCTCTCCTGTCTCTCTGTAGAAGAAACTATTCTATTGCAAACTTTCCTGAGGTGTGACACAGGCTGCCTTGCCAAAGAGCACTACTCTGCCAGGATTTACTCTTTTTCCACCTACCCTGATTAACTGACACACTGCATGAAATACCTAAAGGTAAAGTTTAATCTGAAGCTGTGTACCTTTTATAATCTATTTAAATAGACTTAGTTTTCCTCCTGTTCAGAATTTCAGAGCTACTAAATACCAGCCCACACCAGAATGTACCTAAATAAGAATTAAACAAAAATTATACCCTAAAAAGCACGCACATAGACAGAACCCCTAACAATGCCAAGCAAACAGCTACTTAGGTTTTAAGTGTTGGAACTCACATACTGAAGAAGTTCTGTTTTTCCTACTTTTCCTAACTATAGAATTGAATTTAAAAATCTCAAATCTTTAAGAAAAAAAACTGACATTTTGAAATTTCTATCAGATGTTTTCACGTGGTCATGTTAAAAGCTGAGATGTTAAACTGACCTCTTCATTTTCTAAAATTTAGCCTAAAGATGCTGGGTGTGGTGGCTCATGCCTGTAACTTCAGCATTCAGGAAGGTGAGGCAGAAGGACTGTTGTAAGCTTGAGGCCAGCCTGGCTAGTGAGTTGCAAGACCTTGTCTCAAAAAATAAAAGGAAAAATAAGTAAATAAAATAGATAAAATTTAGCCAAAAGAGAACCATTCACATTCTTTTAAAATATAACAAGCTTTAAAATAGGGTATTTCTAAGAAGACTGATATGACTTGAAAAATTATCTTAAATACGGCCAATACCTCCTGTTTCCTGTCTTAAATTCAGGAATATGCACAACTGCAATGCATATAAATGGGAAAAAGGTTACCAACTATAGTGAAAGGTATAAATTCAGTTCATAATGCCTTTAAAGTACAACTCCAAGGTTTAAAACATGTATAACTACTTGAAAACCTATCTAACTGTTATGTGCTTTCCATGCTGCTGAAGAAATATAAAAGTCAATGCTTAGGTGCCTTACCACACAAACAAATACAGCAAGCACAAAAGAAATAATGGCAGGAATCAGTACATACTTGAGTGCTAAACTGGAAGGTGCTGCCCTTAAGTGGCTAATTCACTACAGCCAGGTTTCATATTTCTAACACTGAAATCTGAATAGCTTTCTGAGAGCCTGCTGTGCATAATGACATTAAAGTGAACGCCATGTGTTTCCTAATCACATTTTTTATAGATTAACAAGTAGCACAAGAATTAAATTAGAAAAGTATAGGAGACATCTGTGTGGCTTCTGGAAATTAAGAGTTTGGAATCCAAATTTCTTGCTACGTCTTAGAAGTCATTATGCCTAGCTGGAAGTAGGTCAGTCATCCCGGACTGGGAAGTCTGACAGGCTCACACCTGTAATAAACACTGCTGTGCCAGAACACTGCCATGGACCAAATCCCACCGCTACTCTCTGTGGGGAAATCCAGCCTGGCACCACAGGTGGCGGCACCAACATTCTGAAAACCCGCGAGGTGGCCGAGAGAGGCTCGTTTGGCAGAGCCAGAGGTTTGGGCACATGTGATGAAGTAGATGCCTGTTAGAGGGGTTCCAGAATAATTTATGATGTTCTCCTGGCTGCTCAAATGTCAGTGGTTGGGATTAAAAAGAGGGAGTGACCACCAACTTGAGGAGAGGCTGATGACTTTGGTTAAACAAAGAACTTGTTACAGGGGCTACCATGATACACTGCTGCAGAAATCACCCCGTGCTTACTCTGAGCAGTCTTGTAAGAAAGAAGCCAGGGAAACCAGCGGAGATGACTGAAGAAAGCCAGTTCCAGCATTCTGACCCACGGCAGTTCAGGTGCAGCCCAGGCTGTCCACCATCTATACGATACAAGGGCAGCAGCATTCGCCATAGTTATGATCACACCTCGTAAAGACACAGGAGAGGACTTCCAGAACTGCTTCAGAAAGGGGAGAGGATAGGTGGGATAAGTGTGTTTGAAGTGAGGGGGATCAACGGCAGTGTGCTTTTTAACGTAGTAAGTATTTTTAACTTAAACATCCACCATATATTTTGATTACTTTGAATCACTGATTTGAATATACAAATCAATCTCTCAAAAATCCAATGAGATAAAAGTACAGGAAAACATGTCTAAAAGAACAGCAACTTTCACAGAGCTTTATAATTATTATTAGGCTCAGTATTTCCATTATGGTTACCTAGCAATTTTTTTTCCTGTAAAGGTCCATAACAGTAAAAATTTTAGGCTTGTGGGCCATGTATTATCTTTTTCATATAGTATTCATAGTCTTTGTAGCTTTAGAAAAAAAAAACCACTCCAAATTACCCTTTAAAAATATGTGAGAACAATTTCTACCTCCCTGGAAGTACAAAAAGCAGGCTGTGAGCCATCTTTTGCCCACCCTGTTTTATGTGTATACATTATTAAGTCGTACAATCTGCCCTTGATACACTGAGCACCCTAACTGCTCCTCACTTCCTGCCTGGAACTTGTGTGGAGGAATGGTGAGATTTCACACATTTTGCAAATTATTAAGGCTCCCAGTAAGACAGTAGAAGAAAGCAGATTATGATCAACAACAATCTTGGCAACTACTTCCTAATATTTGGCACTTCAAAAAAGTTTCCATGACTATATAATTGCATCCTTTCTCCAAGGCCTATCTAGACATTCAAAGATTCATTTCAAAGCCAAACCAAACCTCTGCAAAACAGTATCAATGGAAAGGGCTTAGAAAATATGATCTGTGCCCATCATGATTTCTGGTGGGGATCCGGCTGACTGTCATCGCTAGACAGACCATGCAGGATAGAGTCCTGAGTATCTACGTTTCAGAAGGAATACATGCTCTTCCTGCTAAGTGGCCAGTTGATCAGTTCCCAAGGGAAGAAGAGGATCCTCTCTACAAGTGAATCCTATTAACTTTTTTATTTCTTTAAATTTTATTATTTAATTTTATCAGTACATGTTTGCAGTGCATAATGATTATGCTCCTTGTGGGGAGTTGTTACATTTTCCTAACATATCTGAATTCTTTTTACTTCTCCTACTGTCCTCTCCCTTTTAAAAGCTGGTTATTTTCTGCACATAGAGTGTAAGGGTCTAAAAAAAATGCTTGGGTTTCTGAAAAGCCAATGTTAAAAACAATTCTAGGTGTTATTCCGACGCCACCACCTCTCTAGGAAAAGAGCTGATGGTTGCAGCAGACCGGATGCCCTCTCAGTGGTCTCAATCTTATCTTTCATTTCCCACCTCCCCAAAAGAGCCTCCTCTTTCATGGCACAAGCCCTCTGGATTGAACAGCAACTTTTTTCCTAGCAGCTAGTGGAGCTGAGAGAAAAGAGACTGGCAATGTCAGGGCAGGCCAGGATCTACACACAGACCAGGCAGCCCTCCCCAGTGAGCACAATGGCCTATCGTCACCACCCTGCCAAGCCAGGCTGAGTAGAGACCATTCATTGTCCATCTTCAACCACCAAAGAAGGGAGGAAAAAAAAAAAACAGGGTTGAGGTCATTCACTAAACACTGCTGAGGCCTACAGGCAAGACTGAGCCTCCCAGTCTTGAATGATGTATTTTCCCATATAGCCTTTCTTAAAAAATGCATTTATGCTGCAGTGAATCTGTTTACTGTGAAAGATATATTTTTAAAGCATACATAGACATGAAGAACAACAGGTAAGACTGCTATAATTTCCAATGGATAAAATGTGACTATTTCTATCAAGTTACAAAAAAAATTCCATATATAAGTAATGTGGCTTTGTCAAAAGGCAGTGGCATCATACATATTCTTTTTAGAGCACATACAGAGAATCTAGGATGTCGTGGCAACAAGATAAATAAAATAAAAACACAAATTCCTCTCAAAACCATAAGGTGTACTCTGAAACTAAATTTTCTTCTTTTCTTCTTCTTTTTTTTTTTTTTTTGGACCGAAGATCCAACTCAGGACCTCACGCTTGCCAGACAGGTGCTGTGCTGCTGAGCTAAATCCCCAGCCCTAGATTTTCTTTTCTATCCTACTTCTTTTCCCACTAGAATTCTGAAAATTAAAATGGCAAAACTCAATCGATCATTAAATCAATGACTCTAGCTAAAGGTTCCCTCTGACTTGGCTCTTGGAGCCAAGTAGATAGTTTGGTATATAATTAAGAGCCTCAGTATGCACTGTTTATATGCAAAGGAAGGCGACTACTGTAGACTACAGCAAAAAAAAAAAAAATGACGGTATGGTGAGAAATCTGAGTAACATACATTGAGTCATATGTGGTCCTAAGAAATCCCTCTGTACATGCAATGCTAATCATATTGGAGAAGATGCCTTTCACAAAAGGGAAGGAGGCCAAGAGATGGGGGCAAGGTAGGAGAGGGAAAGGAGATGAAAAAAGAAATAAGATGTGTTATATACATGGACTAACTCCCCATGGTGAATGTAACCATTACTGCATACATGTACTAATAAGAATTTTAAAGATACACAGATTGATAGGAATGTTGACCAACTTTGTAAATAAGAAAAGGGGGATTTTGGAGAGCACTGCTTCCTGTCCCATGTCCTCAGGGAGCTATGGCCCAGGCCTAGCTGGCTGCTGAGGCTGGCAAGTTCATCTGGCTTGACGCCCTCATGAGCTCCCTCCAGTGGCTCTGCATGGTCCCTGCTTAGTTATTTGGACAACAAAGATGACAAGTCTGAAGGGCCTTCTACCCAATATAAGTGCAAGCTCTATCTTTCTGCTGGACACAGACCTGCTACTCTGACCAGAAAGCCCTCACCTTCTTGTCATAATTGCCGCTGTTAAAGCTGAGGGGTGAGGGAGCCAAACACTGACCTTTACCTCTTTTCATTCTCTTTACCTCCAGCCCCAATTTACCCTCTTCTGGATGTTGCAATAAGTATTGTCTTAAAGAAAGCACTGCATAGGGAAGAAGACTGAAAGGATGCACTTAACAATTCTTCTCTTTTTTCCCATACAAATGACATTCCACCCACAGCAGGGCACCGTTTAACTTGTCAGCAAGGGTGGTTGACTTGTCAATGGATTTATTTGTAAATTCACTGAGTTCCCATGTGACTAGCGTCCAGTCAGAAGTGAACTATGAGGCCATGAAAAAGCAAAATTACTCTCTAAGTCATGAACACAAGAGGCAATGGGAGAACTGAAAATTGAGATACTAGAAACAACATAACGATAACAGCTCAAAAGAAGAAATAGATGAGTTTGTTTCACTGCAGGCATATCTTTCAAACTATGGCAAAACCTAGCATGACCATAAGCAAAAAGGCTTGGATAAGCAGGTAGTGCTAAAAACTAAAGGGGATACTTAGCAAAAACCTTTAATAGTGGAAATGGTTAAGGGCACTTTCACACTGCCAGAATTTTATTTCAAGTTTTAGTTCTTCTAGAAACATAATCATGGTAATTCCATGTTAATGCCTCTCTTTTCTAAACTGATACAACATTCACCACACCTCACACATTTGGGCACTTAATCACTTGTAGGCACAGATTCTACATTTTACTTCTTTTAAATTTCCCATTTTTCTCCCGGGGGGGGCAATTTTTCTCTGCCCTTGTATGCTGCTGAAATTGTGATTGAGATTGTACGCTGTATCTTAATAACATTTTCTCCTCCCATTTTTACTCTATATTGACCAAAATCTTTTCAGACAGTGAATGTTTAAATATATTAGCATCTTTTCAAGATATCTCAACTCATCTGCCGTTTAACCATCTATAGTTCCATTCTGTACTTACTTGTCTGCTATTCTATGGATTTCCTATCATAGGGATGTAGTTTTAAGAGTTCTGTACCTAGTTTGTAAACTCTCCAACCTAAACTGTAGCTTTTAGTTGTTCAATTTTCCCCCAAACTGATCTCAACCTATCCTACATGTTGGATCCCAACAAACACAAAGTAATTATTCACTGTCCTTAAAATAGCTTTAGAATGAAAGTCTCTCTGAAACTTTAGTTTGCATACTTTCTCCAGGAAGGCAGTGAACATAAAAGGGGGATTTATACACTTTACTGTGAATTTGCCTTCAGTTATGTTTACCGACAGTACTAACAATCTTTTGAAATACACGGTTTCTGTTTACACTTCTATCCCAAAAGGACTGTTAGTGTGGTACACCATGTTAGTAAAAACTGTATTTTAAAAGGATATCCCTAATCCCACAAGTCATGAGAATAGTGAGAGTAAAGAACTCTTTAAGTGTTGTTTGCGCATTTAATCTTTAGATTTTTCAAACGTTCTGACTTAACTTGAAAAACAGCTGAATACTGAACCTAGCCTGTGAAACAAATTTAACAATCATTTCTGAAAAAAAAAAAAGAAAAAAAAACCCAGAACCTTTCAGGACCATCTGCACTGTACTAAGGCATTCTCAGGATTTCTGGCCTAAGAGGTACTTCACTGGCCACTGGTTCAGCTCCACCTCATTACCACACCAGAAAACTGGGCAAAGGCATTCTCCACTTTAACCTGTGACAGGTTAAACCTGTCATATGTTCTCACGATAATTTCTACTAAAAACTGCTGTTTCACAGAGGTCAAAACGCAAGTGAAAAGAAAAAAAAACCCTACTTTTTAGCGGACTGGCCAGTATCTTAAACATCCTTCTAAGGATGTGTCCTGTGGGACTTTCCATTTAGATACTGGGCAGGACGGGAAAAATCCGAATTCACCTATAGAATTAGCTTAATACCGTTATTCCCGGCACATGAGTTTAAAAAAAAAAAAAAATCCCATGCCGACTAGAAATTCGGACTCCATTGGTGTGGGATAAGGGCCCGGGCTTCGGAACTCTTAAAGGTCATTCAGTGATTAGGAAGCACAACAGAGCTGACAGCCTTTAGGGTGGTCTCCTCTAACAATTAACCTGCATAGACTTGTAATATCCAGAGCCTGAGGTCCCACTTTTCGTCGCCGGTTGATGGTGATTTATTACAATGACAACGTGACCACTAAGATATCCGCATTCCCTGCCTCAGAAGAAGCCAGGCCTCTGGCTCTGGCTCCTTCTTCACTCCCGAAAAGAAACCCAGCCGTCCCCGAAGTCACCTCATGGGCACGCCGCTTGCAGGTCTTGCGCGGTGGGCGAGCAGGGGCCAACTTTTCCATAGGGACACCGAGGGCTAGCGGGGGAGAGGGGGTGTGGGGGGGTGCTGTTGCTCGGGTAACTAGAAGCACGCTTCCGGTGCGGGACGCTGTGACCGCGCGCGCGCGCCGGAAATCTTGCCTACGCCATGGACGTCACGTCCGCAACAAGGGTTACGCAATGCAGGAGGAGGAGCTGGGGCTGGGAATCAGCTCCGCTGGGCGGAGTGTAGGGTGAAGTGAGGGCAGGGAGTTTGACCAGGTCCCAAGAAGTGACTGTTGAGCCCAGCTGGGCACTGGGGCGAGGAATGGAGCGGGGACCCTGGGCTGCGGAATCTGAACCCATGGTTGTGGCAGGATGGGAAGGCGAGGGTGGCTTCTGCTTTTAACTTTTTACCCTGCCCTCAACTGTGCCCTTGTCTTTATTTCGCCAGTTTTCTTTCTACTATTTTTTTGTTATCCAAAAACGGACAGTGCAGATCACCCATACTTTGAAAACAGATTGACCCAGCTCTGAGTCTGAGTGTGATTTCAGTGTTTAGTTTGTATATCCGAATCAGCCTGGTGTTTCTGATTCCTGAGATCTTTGTAACCTAATGTATGGAATTCATTATAAGCAGACAAAAATAGCACATATTAATATTTTTGTCACAGTAATCAGTGAGAATACCTGTCGTGTGAGCGTCGCAGGAGAGTCCTTAATAGCCAAACATAAACCACTAGACGTTTAAGTAGAACATCTTTTTTGGGGTTACTTGGCAAAACGTGGCGAGCTTTAAAGAGGCGGCATATTTTGTGGGAATTTATTTCAGGGAAAAATAGGCACGAACCGGCTGTTTATTGCAGAATTATTTTAAAAAGTAAAAATTGGAAACAATGCTCGAGATAAAATGGCTAAGACAACTATTATCAATGGTTGGATATTATTACCATATTATTCCTATACTATGGAAGCATCAAAGTAGTACAGAAAAATTTTAAACAAATATGTACTAGATACCTACTGGGTGCCATGTACTATTCTATATCTGCACTGTCCACTGTGGTGGACACAAGCAGCATGTGTCTGTGAGAACTGACATGTGCTGTCAAGGTGAATTAAACACTGCAGGGTGAAGAAATACTGTGAAAAAATATGAAATATCTCAAATTTTAAAAATAGTGATAACACATTAGGGAAGGACTGTTTAGATTAAACTATTAATATTAGTTTCATCATTATATTAATGTGGCCACTAGAACATTTAAAATTATATGTGTAGCATATTTATGATTCTATTTGGGAGCGGTATTTACTGGATATATTGTGGAGAACAAGACATAAGGTTGTTGGCTAGAGCAGAGATAATGAGTGAAATAATACAATTTTATGTTATAGTAAATTACGTAAAGAAAATAATAGTAGAACAAGGGCCCGAAACTGTATATACTGAAGGGAATTATTTTCTTTTTCATTGTTATAAAACTCAAAATTTTTATTATATGTCTGTGATACATAATATATTCATCGTGGGGTATAGGTACATGTACATAACATATTTTGATCCTTTATACTTTTCCTCCTTTCCTTTCCATCTTTAGAGCCTCTTCCCAGTTCCATGATGTTTGTCTCCCTGTTTCCTACCATTGAGAGGGTTATTTTAGACAAGATTGTTCCTTCACTGTTCAGAAAGGGTATGTGGTAGAAAGTGAGTCATCTCTGTATGGAAGGGGGTGACGCTAGGAGTGTGGTGTCTTCTGGGAAAAGTCAGGTGTGTATTGAGGATGGTAATTTAACTGGGGCCTGGTAGACTCTTTGCCTCAGGGAAGAAACCAGCATCTAGAGAGGAAGGAAGGAAAAGAGAGATATAATAAAAGGGAAAAGAGGTGAGGAGCCCATGGGAAATGAACAAGGCAAGGTTCAAGTAGGCATCTTTTGAAGAAGCAGCAGTTACTGGAATGCTATGAAAAATGTACACATACATGCACATATGCATATATATACTGTATATATATGTATTTTAAAATTAATTTAAGATTTTATTTTTATTGTACAGGTTTGCAGTATTCGATGATTACATTCTTTGTGGGGACTTGGTACATGTACATTACACATTTTAATTTACTCTCTCTTCCCTTCCTAGCCTCCCTTATTCATGCATCTCTTACATATTATTAGTAATATGTAGTATTGCTATTACTTTGCTGTAGTCACAGAGACTCAGAAGAAGAGTGGCTCAAACCCTTGAGAAGTGTATTTCCATCTCTCTTGGCAGTCTGTGTGTAAAGAGACAAATTCTACCTATCTTATAGCTCCACCTTGCCTGGTTTCTTGCCTTGGCCCACGTGGTCCAAGATGGCATACCCCTGCAAAGCTAGCCAGTGGGAAGTGGTGAAGGAGAAACAGGAGCATTATCTTCCCTCTAAGATAGAGTTTCTATAACTTCTCGATATTCACCTTTGGGGATGAATAATTGTGTGTTCTGAAGGTCGTCCTATCATTGTACGATATTTAGCAGCATCCTGGTCTCTACTCACTAGCTGCCAGTAGCATGCCTTAGTTCTGACAACTAAAAATGGCCCCATGTATTGCCAAACATCACCTGAGGGCAGTCACCCCACCTATTAAGAAACATTGCCTTACGAGTTGCCCACACTTTTGCTTATATCTCACTCATGGTCTGATGTCATTATTGACCATCCTAAGGATAAAGGAACTTTGGCATTTATGACCAGATGCCAAGCCAAAAGTTGGCTAACGGAGACAAGAAGCTAACAGATTCACCTGCACTTTTGTTGCTAGGGAGAATGGAAAGTCTGTTGCAGACTGAGGAGTTGGCTCTATTCTTTTATCTTCCCAGCTGTGGTAGGCATTATTCATTTTAATTCACTTGCATAAAAATTCTGTGTGTCGGGGGGAACACGAAGTGTCTAAAAGGTGAGACCCCTATTTGAAAAGATTGGCTATTATTTCTCCAAAGGGTGACAAAGTAGGGGAACTGGGTTCTGAAATTCAGGCTAGAGGACATTGGATTGTTATTTGTGTTTTAGCACCACCTGCTGGGAATTTATAAATGCTATTATTCCTCACTTTTGTATGGTATTTCCTTTCATTTACCCCGTGCTTAAATACCAGATTTATAAAGATTATTTTCTTTCCATTAAGTTTATTGGTACATTTAAAGCAAATAATACAGTTATATTCCTCATTGGAATCTTGTACCTTTACATGATATATCTTGGTTCTTGTTTTTTCCCCATACCCCTGCTCTCCCTTGACCCCCTTCACCCTTCCTTATTTACAAAGACTTTGTTTCCTTTATTTCATTTTTTCCATATTTTTTCATTTCTTTAGATGGATTACAGTGAAACATTAAAAAGGCTCTTTCCAATGAGGAATTCTCTGAAACATGATTTCTCATCTTTGACACGACTGTCATCTGGGGCTGGATAATTCTTCATGATGGAGGCTGCCCTGGGCATGGTAGGCTATTTAGAAGCACCCCTGGCCCCCAGTCACTACCTGTCCTCGATCTGTGGCAATCAAATATATAGGCTAGTGACCCCCATGGCAGTACAAAGTTGCCCTGGGTTGAGAATCACTCTTTTCGACAAAGGATCCAAAAGCCCTTGGCCTCCTAAGGCAGTACTGTATGCCACAGTAGTCTCATGTCAGTTTGTGGGAATTGATGTGGGTCTGAGAAGGATGGGGTGACAGTGCTGGGGAACAAATGAGGGCACAGATGCAGCAGGACATGTCCTCTTTTTACGCTTTGCAGAAGTCTGCTCCTGCTCATTCCAAATAATGGGAGATAAAGTTTCCAGAGGATTCTGAAAGGCAGTGACATCTCATATACTATGGAAACCTACAGAGGCTGGCACCCAACACAGGAAGGAGCACAGAATAATCCCAAACTCTGTACCTAAGTTTCCCCTCAAGGGTGTACAGTGATAGATGATCCTACCATGTGTAGGAAACCACAGCTAATCTCATGGGCTTTTTGAATCTGCATTCAACCCTGCCCGTGACCCATGTGTCACCCAAGTATTGCGCAGAAAGTGGTTGGGAACCAGTTCCCTCGTCTGGGTTAAATAAGTGGCCTCAAACCCCCTGCAAACAGTCCTAAGTTCTTACTTCAAAGTTGGTTACAGAAAAGGGCAATTTTCTAGGACCACTGTCCAGGAGGCCCTGGCTTCAGGCCCTTGCTCAGGTCCTCTCCTATAATTTCTCTTTGATTTCACCTCCTTAAGCCCCTGCCCTACTACCCAGACCCTGTCTTTCAGAAGACAGTCTCACCTCTTACGGATGAAGAAGACCAGGCACACATTTCATCACTTTGAAATGTCTGACTGTTTCCACTCTGCACTCATTGTACCTTTCATTTCAGTGGAGGAGATAGCTTTGCTTCTGCCCAGGCCAATCCAATCACGTGATATTCTGGATCTTACCCCCATCCTCACAGACATTCTCAAGTATGTGTGTCTCCTATCACCACCTCTCTCTTTTCTGGTCCTCCATCAGCGTCAAGCTGGTTCAGATTCTCTGATCTTAGAAAAGTTTAGGTTGATCTTTTCATCCCCCTCTGCTTACTATTCTGTTTCTCTCTTGGTCATCCTTCTGTTAAAAGTGGGTTACCGTGGGGCCAGGGATTTAGCTCAGTGGTTCCGGCGCCTGCCTCACAAGCACAAAGACTCGAGTTTGATCTCCGGTAACAACAACAAAAAAAATGTGGGTTACCTTTATTCCTTCCCTTCTTTCTTCTCATCCCATTGCAATTTCTCTCCCAGCACACCCATTTCCATAAAACTATCTCCCCTTGTCACTGTGACATTTGATCTACTGTCCACTATTCTATCGGATCTACTATTCTTTGGTCTCTCTGCAGTATTTGATATCATTGACCATGCCCTCCTTCTTTGCAATTATAACCCTCCCAGACTACCAAAGTAGCATGTGCTTACTGCAAAAATAAAAGAAACAAATACGGAATTTAAGCACAAAGAATCAGTATCCACATCAGTCATTTTAAATAACCACTTCTTATATCTAGTGCTTGTCTTCC